TTTTTACTGCTACATTAATTCACCCCCCCTCTTAGTGCCGATTCATTCCTAATAGTTAGTATCAGAGCCTCGTTATTTCTTATTTGGTTTAACACCCAAGAGAAATAGCTCTTTTTCGATTTTAAGAGGGTTTTTCTATCGTTCGTCCTCCTATGTTCAATGGAACAGACTATACTTATTGGAAAACTCGAATGAGAGTTTTTTTACTTTCTATGGATTTAAACTTATGGAATATCATTGAAAATGGATTTCAAAAGTTTTCTATTCTAAAAAACGAATGTAATGATTTGGACAAGAAAACTTTTTCTTTAAATGTTAGAACTGTGAACGCTCTATTTGTGTTTTGAGCAAAAAAATGAGTTTAATTGTGTTTCTATTTGTGAAACAGCTTTCAATATTTGACATACACTTGAAATCACACACGAAGGCACTAGTAGAGTAAAGGATTCTAAGATAAATATTTTGATGCATGATTTTGAACTATTTCGAATGAAGCCCTGCGAAACCATTATTGACATGTACACTTATTTTACGGATATCGTCAATGACTTAAAAGCTCTTGGCAAATGTTTTTCAAATCTTAAACTTATTAATAAAGTTTTACGATTTCTTTCTAAAACTTGGGATCATAAAGTAACGATCATTCAAGAGGTCAAAGATTTAAATATATTCCCCCTCGAAGAACTTATCGGGTCTTTAATGACCTATGAAATTAGTTGTATGACACAAAACGAATATGAGAACAACTTTCCAAAGAACAAGAAGGATTTGACACTTAGAATACATGAAGACCACTCGAGCGAAAGCTCAAATAATGATGAAATTAAACTTCTCACTATAAAACTTAAAAAGTTCATTAAACAAGAATTAAAAAGAAGTTTCCAAAAAAGAAGAGAGCACTTAAAGTGACTTGGGACGGAACAAGTTCATCCAAAGATTAAGAACAAACCAACAAAAGCGATGTGGCAAACTATGCCTTAACAGTTTTTGACGAGGTAACTAAAACCCCTTTAATTTATTTTAAAATTATATGATACTTTTCATAAGTTATATTTTTAGTTTAAAAAATTATATATAATTTTTTCTTAAAAATTATATGTTTAATGATGTAATGAAAATGTTAAAAAATTGGGATCATGCTAGTAATTTTGAAAATTATAATGACAATTACATGTTTTATGAAAATATATCAAATTATTAGATATAAATCTAATGCTTGTATATCTAATAAGATTAATCTTATGTATGTTTTTAAGAAGTAATAATGTGCAATCATGTTGATTTCCATATTGCTTTTCGATTTTGATTGAAGATGTCTTATGTTCAATGATACCATGCTTAATGATTTTATATTATAAATGAGATTTTGAAGTTATGCATGATGATTTTTATGATTTATAACTTATTGATCTTTGTCGCAATGAAAATTGCTTTTTCAGTTTTAAATAAGATGAATGATTTTCATATGAAAAACTTGAGTATATTTATATGAAATCAATTACATAAAATAAAACACATAAAAAGGGAATACATTTTTCATCTCTATCTTATTGATTTTTTCGATAAAAGATTAATGAATCCATGAATATTATGCTTTTGTGAATCTCGTACACTATGAAAATGAATTTGAATGAGTTTTATCCAAATCATAATTTCTCGAGATTTATAACATGAAACCTTTTATGAATCAATATCTCTTATTTGATCTCTTATGTTTCTCTTTACCATTTACTAAAAAAAAACAATCCAATTCATGATCTTGATTTCTTGATATTTGATACTTTAAATCTTTCTATGAATCAAGATCATTTTCTCCTTGTTTCTTTTTACTATTCACCAAAAAAGAAGACTTATCCTAACAAACTATGATATGCTACTTGATATCTTGAAAATTTATAACTTAGTTTTGTTATGCATTTCTTTCCTTCTTCATTCTTGTTTACGATGACAAAAGGGAGAAAGAAAATCGATAGCATATCAAGAGATTGATTTATCAATTAATGTCATTTTGAATCTCTTATGATTTTGATTGATTTATCAATTAATGTCATTTTGAATCTCTTATGATTTTGATAATTTGAATCTAAATGAGAATTTTCCAATCGAATCATGAACCTTCTCTTGATTTCTTAACTTGAGACTTTCTTTTATGAATCAAGATTTCTTACTCTTTATTTTTCATATAATTCTTGCATTTTGAGAAAATTTTCTATATGAATCATGTCTTTTGGTATTCACATAATCTTATCTTTCATGATATGATTTTTATAATTCCTTATATTCATGAAGTATATCTTATCACCAAAATTCTCTTGATATTCTTCATGTGATGATATTAAATTATACATGAAATACTCATAAATTTATGTTTATACATACAAATGAGAAGTCATGATCATGCATGGTAGGATGTAATGTAATTTGACATTTTGATACCATTATGATTTGTATTATTTATGATTTAGAATGATGCATGCAATACTATGATTTGTTGCTAAAATGATGTATCATGAATATTTGAGTATCATATATGATATGCCCATAGTGATGATTTATTTTTTATATCATGCATGAAGTAATGATGAAATGTAAGGTTTTGAAATTGTACATGTTTTAATTTGAAACTATAATGATGCATAAATATGTTGAAATAATATTGATACTTTACTTTTATCATGATTTAAAAATTATTATAAAGGAAAAAAGAATTATAAAATTATTATTTTTCCTTCTTTTTTATAATGACAAAGGGGGAGAAAGAACTAGCTTGCATGTTCTTAAATAATATAAAATTTGCTAATTTGCATGGTATAAAATTTGTTAACTTACTTTATATAAAACTTGCTATCTTACTAGCTTGCATATCTAAAACTTGCTAGCTTGCCCAACTCAAAAAAGAGCAAAAATTACTAACTTGCACATCCCAAGTAGAAGCAAAATTGTTAGCTTGCACATCGCAAAGAAAAGTAAACTTGTTAACTTGCATATCTTAAAAATTGCTAGCTTGTATGATGTAAAAGTAGCTAAAATCGCTAACTTGTAATCTAAAGAGAAGCAAAAAGTTGCTATCTCAAGAAAAGTAAATATGCTAAACTTACATATCTCTAAAAATTGCAAACAAGCTTGCATGTTATAAAACTTACATATATAAAACTTGATACTTGCACTTCTTCTTTTTGTTGATGACAAAGGGGGAGAAGCCATAATGACAATCATGCATGAGATGATATACTTGGATATGATTATGCATGAGTTTATGTTGCATGCAATGATATGATAAATTAGTTATGTCAATATTCATTATGCATGCAATATTGAAGTACTTATATGTTTTAAAACATTATATGATTTTCTGAATTTAAATGTTCTATCAATATGGCATATTGATAGGGGGAGTTAAGGTTAACTCCGTCATCAATTGGTTATCATCATCAAAAAGAGAGAGATTGTTGAATCTCAAATTTTGATGATGAAATCAATTGATGAATTTGTGATTTAATCTGTATTTTGAGTGACGTATGACTAGTTTCGATCAAGGAGATGCAAATTGATTAAAGCAGGAAGAATAATATTGGGTAGGAGTGAACATGTTAGAAGATTGGACGTTGAGCCAGAGGATCGGTTGACATGTCGGTAAAAGGCTCGTGCCATGAATTCAGGCATCGGGCCAAAGGATTGGACATTACGCCAAGGAAATTAAAAGTTGTAGGAGTCAACATGCCGATTGAACAATATGCCGAAGGAGAGGATGATGCTTCAAAGGATCGGAGGAGCGTCGGATAAACTAATGACATGCCGGATAAAGGATCCATCCTTTATAATCATTTGTCTAAGATCAAAGTAGTTTAGGGGGCTAATTGAGTTAGTTTTTATGTAACCATGCTAACTCAATTAGGGGCTAATTGGGCTTTAATTGGGACTGATTTGGGCTCATTGAGAGGCTCATTCAATGACCTAAAAGTTGGGTCAAGCGGTAGCACCGCCAGAACAGGCGATGGAACCACTTGCGAGTTGAAAAACTCGAAAAACCCGATCTCCGAGGCTGTCAGGAGGTGGTACTGCCAGACTGAGTGGTGGTACCACCCAGTGATAATGTGTTGGGAAATGGTACCGTCAGATTGGGCGGTGGTACTGCCTAGTGTCAGGCTACAGGCGATGATACCACCCGTACCCCGAAATCTCAAGGATTTAAATTTTGGCTCCAAGTTTTGAAGTCATTTGGGGTCTATAAATACCCTAGCTATTTCTGCATGGAGTAGTAAGAAAGATTGAGCAAAACTCTGTTGTAAACCTTAGAAAGTTGAGTTCTTTCCTCCTAAAGCTTAGAGAGAGTTCTAAGGAAGGTGTGTGAGGGATACCTTATAAAAGAGGGTTATAAAATGTTATCTCCTAAACTTGTAAAAAGGAGAAGAGGGTTGTAAAAGGGTAGTTGGTCTTCGCCCATTGAAGGAAGATCGTTAGTGGATGCTGGTGGCCTTGACGGAAGAAGAATCGGGAGTGGATGTAGGTCACGACGATCGAACCACTATAAAATCTAGTTTGCATTTTTTTTGAACAATTTACTTTAACTACAAACTACCTTCTTATTGCTTTCACTACGCTCCCTTACACTTCCATGTTAATATCTTTCCGATCAATTTTCGACTTACGAAATATTTTCAAACTAATATTTTTTAATCGATATCAATAAGGCTAACCACAACATCATTCTCATTGACCACCACTATAACAGCTACCCATGACTCTATTATTTATCATCATTATTTAAATTATTTTTTTTATTTATCATTTTTTTGTCATTCATACATATGTTATGATGTGCTTATCTTCCACCCATAAAGTCGATAACGATAGGATAAATAAACTTAAATATTATATTTTTAAAATTATAGAAATTTTACTATAATTTTTTTTAATTTAAAAAATCGAGTTAGCTAAAAAAGTTTAACTTGTAATATGTAATTAGCCCCTTCTCTTTCTTTCTTTCTTTCGGTGCAAGACTCGATCGACTTCTCACGCTCGCCGGCAGCAACATGATGAGACCTCGAACCTCCTCCTGCACCAAGTTTTGGAGGGCGACGACGAAGACGACACCACCAACAGCAAGAAGCATGTCCAGCTCCGGCAGCGGCGAGCAACAGCGGCTCCTCGTGGGCGTGGACCCCTGCAATAAGCTCTGCAAGATCATGTTGTCCTGTCCCAATGCCGGGCTGGAGCAGGCCCTTGACGCGAGCGGCGTGCGCGCCTTCCCCGACGTGGCCGAGCAGGTCCTCCTCCGCTTCGAGAACGCCGGCATGCTCGCCTACCGCTTCTTCGACTGGGCCCGCCGGCAGCAGCGCGGCTATGCCCACACCGTCCGCGCCTACCACGCCATGATCGCCGCACTCGCCAAGATCCGCCAGTACAAGCTCATGTGGGACCTCGTTGCCGCCATGCGCGCCCAGGGCGCCCTCAACGTCGAGACCTTCTGCGTCATCATGCGCAAGTACGCCCGCGCCCACAAGGTGGAGGAGACCCTGTACACCTTCGACGTCATGGATAAGTACGGTGTAGCGCCCAACCTGGCGGCGTTCGGCGGCCTGCTCGGTGCGCTCTGCAAGTCGAAGAACGTCAGGAAGGCCCAGGAGGTGTTCGACAAAATGCGCGACCGGTTCGAGCCCGACGCGAAGACCTACAGTATCCTGCTCGAAGGGTGGGGAAGGGCGCCCAATCTGCCCAAGATGCGGGAAGTCTACCAAGAAATGCTGGACAGGGGTTGCGAACCAGATATAGTCACCTATGGAATTATAGTCGATGCACTGTGTAAGGCAGGACGGATGGAGGAAGCTGTCGATGTAGTTAGGGACATGAGCCACAGGGTTTGCCCGCCGACACCCTTCATCTATAGTGTGTTGGTGCACACGTATGGGGTCGAGAAGAGGATAGAGGATGCCGTAGATACATTCTTGGAGATGGAGAGAAATGGAGTTAAGCCCGATGTCGTCGTGTACAATGCACTGGTTGGTGCATTTTGTAAGGCAAACAAGTTTGAAAATGCATTTAGTGTGGTGGGAGATATGGAGGATAAAGGCATCACCCCGGTCGCAAGGACTTTTAATATCATATTGAACAGCTTGATAACTGCTCAGAGATACGAGGAGGCATATAGGGTTTTTCGCCGCATGATAAAATGCTGTGAACCTGACTCAGATACCTACACCATGATGATAAAGATGTTCTGTGAAACCGACAAGTTGGAGATGGCTTTGAAGGTGTGGAAGTACATGGGCAAGAAGCAATTCCTCCCAAGCATGCACACTTTTTCTGTCCTAATCAATGGGCTCTGCGAGAAGGGCGAACTGAACCGGGCTTGTGT